TGCCGTTGCTTTCCAGAGTCGCCTGCCGCGGTGAGTGGAACCAGCTTTTGGACATACGATGTACCAAACCAGATAACGGGCATGAAACGAGCGCCGGGGGCTGGTGGGACCGACTGTACCTGTACACTGGAGTTGTCCACGTCGATATCGCAAACACGCGGACGAGCCCTCGAGAGCTTGATGAGCGGTTGACAGTTGAAACAGGCCAGACCGAGCAGACCAGCGCTGGCGTTCGTCAGTGACGGCAGCCGCTTAGCCAATCTTCCATCTTGCCTTGTGCATCCAGCCAGCTGCGCTTCGACCACCACCTCCTCCGGCCGCGACCTGTTTCTGTCCTTTTGGCCCCTCCCCTGCCTTGCGAGACTCGCGGTGCCTCGAGTTGGTCCGAAAGAAGATACCATTGGCTCACTGACCATGTGGCTCGCGACCCATTTTCTTTGCTCAGGTGCTGCAGTTCCTATTGTATATCGCATATCGTACATTGGCAATTCGTCTGCCGCCCGACTAGTAACTTGATCCGGATTCGCAGCTGCATAACCACCTGCCTGCTCCCGCCTTTGATCGCTGCCGAAGGATATGAGTCCATATCTGTCTCATGCGGCGAAACAGGCGCTGCCGCGGGAAGCAAGCACGAGCAAAGCTCACGAACGGCTCCTGAGAGGAAGGAGGGGTGCCGGGGTCCAATAGCCGCAGGTCATTTCACCTAATAAGACTACATTCTTCGCCTGACAAGCTGCCGCCGGGTCAGTCGTGGATATCATGGCACCGGCCCAGCATCGCCTAATGCGCTCATGGCGTTTGCCTTGGGTTAGGACACGGTGCTTCGGGCTCTGGTCCCTCTGGAACTCGAAGGCAGAGGGCGGCATTTTCCTGGCCAAGACAGAAAACCGGCCTCAGTGGTTGGGAGGGGCGGATTGGCGTCCAGACGCTAGCACACGCCATACCGGACCTGCAGACCTGGCGTCGCTCTCGTTGGAGTATCGGATCGAGTTGGTGGGTGTGCCATCCAGGTAAGCCAGCAAGACCAAGCACAAGAGAGGAAACGGGGGTGTGTCCCGGCGGGTGGGATGTCTGGGTCCGATGCAACCTGGAGACGGTGAAATCAAGATGGATTCCGCGATATTGTGCCATCGCGGTCCTCAATTGTCAAGTCACGATGACAGTACTGGCCTGCTGCGAGGGTACAGAACTGCAGCCAATGTCTCAAGGGCCGTATAGGGAGCCTCCGGATCATTTCACAAGCGCAGGGGCGATTGCGGCGCATGTCACAAGTGCGGCTGTGAGGAACTGATAACGGAACAGCCAGGCGAACGGCCTTCCCTCTCTCTCTACCGTCAAGATCGGCCATGCGATCCCGAGCTTCTCCTACAATGCGCAACCCTGGCCTTTCTTTAGGGGTTGCGGGTAGGGTGGGATGGCGCTCTGCGAAGCGCCGAATTGCCATGGAACCGATCTTGACGTGAGGAGAGGCCCATGGGCGTGGGATACGTATCTGCAGGCACGGTAACTTCCAACCTTGAGATGGACAGACTGAAGGGAGCGAGTCGCAATCAAGTCCGACGGTGCGGCCATGTTCCTGGCAGGACCCGGGCAGGCTCGCGGGGTACAGGAGCAGGACAGCGCGCCTCTTTGCACATTCAATGGCGGCCGGCCGTTTTGTTCGCAAACGAGTTTGCGCGTGGCCCGCGGGCGTATGCGCATGTCCATCAAACCAACGGCGAACTGGAGGCCAGCCCGGCCCCGTACGGATCGCATTGGATACATGAATTGGCAGAAAGGGTCCGCGCTCACGAGCCCCAGGACTGACGAGGTTTCGATGGGCTCAGACCGGACAGGGATGGCTGGGCGAATGGGAGGAGAAGTGGAGGAAGCGGAGGGAACAGGTTCTGGTGGTCTGGATGGATGGCAGCCGTAACAAATAAGGCCTGGCGGAAAGGAAGAAAAAAAAACCCCCCCCAGCAGCAAGGTTTCGTCTTGTTTGCTTTCGCGGGAGAACGGGGAGCGGCTTGGACGAGTCTGACTGGGCCGCGAGCTGTCTGGTATTCCACACAGGTGTGCGTGTGCGTGTGCGTGTGTGCGCCTTATCTGACGAGCCGGACCTGGCCTTGTTCAGTCACTTGGCCAGTCAGTCGGGCAGTCTTGGTTTGTGCCGACACGAGGCATCAAAGTCAAGTGGCTATTGGTGAATCGGGGGAGAGTATGTAATGAGGTGTGGTGAGGTGAGAGACAAGACAGACATGGAGCGCACGGCGCGTTCCTTGCACATCGGGGCGCTTGTTCGTCATCTGTATGAGGTGAGCCGGTTGGTGTGTATGCATTGTGCGCGAGTGTGTGTGGTATTCGTGCGAGAGATATCTCATGTATCTTTTGCCTTCGCACACGACGCACACTGGCGCTCGACAACTGTTCATATCTATGTCTCTTTCTCTCTCTCTGCCCCGTCATATATCCCGCGCTTATTCCGTCATGTGTCTGGGTGTCCGGTATCGAAATGAACAAGGCGCACAAAAAGGAAATGGAGGACGTCAGTAAGTATCCTCCCCCTCGAACCCTCTCCCCCTTGTGGGAAGCCCATGGATTCGCGCCAGAGATTTGAGGCTTCTAGAAGGACTGGCTCCTGACGAGGGCCAGCGGAAAGGGAAGGGCAGAGGTAATTACAGTTCCGGGGCGAGAGAGGCCATCATATCCGCAAATAGACTACTTGACGAGATTTGATGGACCTAACCAGCCAGCCCAGCCGAGATCTCGACTCTGACCGCCTTGGAGCTCCCCTCTCTCTCTCTCTCTCTCTCTCTCTCTCTCTCTCTCTCTCTCTCTCTCTCTCTCTCTCTCTCTCTCTTTCGCTTTCTCTCTCTCCCTCCTGTCTGCTACGTAGAGTTAGTTCCCAAAGGACAAATGCCAACCACCCCCGGTCTGGGAGGCCCATGTCGAGGTCCGCTAAGGAAAGCAGTCGAGTCTGCGGTTTGTGATGCGTATATGTGTGCGTGTCGCTTCTTCGCCTTTGATGTGCGCCGCGGCGGGCGGTAATGGTGAGGCGCGCGCCCCCTCCCTCTCAGGCGGGAGTTGCGCAAGCATGGGTGACTTGGGCCCCGGGCCTTTGCCCTCGTCCGCCGTCGCGCGGCGCAGGCTGGAGTCGCGATATCTGCCTCGAGGAGGTGGGGACTCGTCCTTTCCATCATGGAAAGCCTCGAAAACAAAGGCCCGAAGGCTCTGTCGAGCGGCAGAACAAATGCGCCTGCAGCGTTGAGGTACCTTCTTCACCATCATGCTCAGACACACACACACGCACTTATTGGTGAGCTGGCTGCCGGCCCCCCTCCCTCCATCCCCCCAGGAGAAAGAGACGGGACGGGCGGGTCCAAAGGTGCCACACACTCTGCGGTGAAGTGCGGCAAGTACCCTCCTTTCCAAGGGGATTGCTGGCCGGGGCCCTGTATTTCTGGGTCGAGCTAGCTAACCTGTTGGAGAGACCTGATGAAAGTGGTGAGGTAAGGAATGGGGAGAGCGAGAAAGAGAGCGAGATAGAGAGAGATGGAGAGAAATAGAAAGACAAGAAAGGGGAGATGTGACAAGACAACAACAGAATGAGAGGAGGGCGTAGCCTGACGCAGCGAAGCCTAGGCCGGGGAAGGGGGTGCGATGTCTACGTTAAGGGGTGGGCTGTTCGGGGGCTTGCAGCGAGCCACAGTGGCCCTGGGCCTCTGTAAATCGCCTTGTTCGGGGAAGGCATCGAGATGGCAGCGCACGATGCCCTGAACGGCGCTGCCGCCACAGGAGGGACCAACGACACAGTCCGGCTCACACTGTCGTCCCCAACCAGGCGGCCGGCAGTTTGGGAAGGGGGCCTGGGTCCTCCACAGTGGGCTAGTGTACTGCGCCTTGGGCCTGTTGGACATGCCTGTAGAAGGTCACTCGCAGAAGTGAGCGCTCCTTGTTAGTGAGCGCAGCGCAGACTGCTCTTTGCCTTTCCAGCGCCGGCCTTACCGCACAAGAGTGGACTGCTGCTGCTGGTCACTGACGGGGCCGACTGACTGACCGGGGGGGGGGCGCACACTCAGAGAGAGAGAGACAGAGAGACAGAGAGAGAGAGCAGACCCCAGACCGGGACTGATAAACTGGCACTGGCACAAGCACTGGGAACTAGAACTGGAAACTGGACTGACCGACCGACCACAGACAAAATCGTAACCTCGTTCGCCCGGCTCCTCTTTTTCCTTCTCATGCACACAAACCTGCGAATTGCCCAGCAGAAACCATCATTCAACACCACTGCCCTTCGTCCAGAGTGAGTCCTATCCATGCCTTTGGTCTTTGCGATCGAGGTTTCCTATCCCCTTGCACCTTCCCGCTGCACATGCCCGTCCCAGACTGCGACCTGCTTCCGCCGGCTCTGTTGAGGAAGGTTTGATGTCTGGGCCTGGACTGGACTGGACTGGCCGGCCGCTGCTTTGCTACGTCTGCCGTCCGCTCCCCGACGCAGTCCCAGCTCAACCTCTCCTCTTCCTTCTCCTCTCTTCCTCAACTCTCTCTCTACCTTCCCACGCTCCATCAGCATCGCCAAACCACTTCATTCGATCCTCTTTCGGCGTCCCATGGCTAATCGCTCCCAGTCTATGCCCTAGACCCCAAATATCCTCCTTCCTTTCCTCCCCCCTCTCGTCTTCTTCGACCGTTCGCTCCGGCAGCGTCCTTGGTCAGATCGCCCCGACTGGCGCTGACCGCACGACGACCCACGGCGCTCAATATAACGTCTCTGCTCGATACCAGAGCGGATACATACTCGCTCCCGCCATCAATCCGGCTCGAGTTTCGGGTTGCTGGCCGTTGATCATATTGTCTGGTCGACCGCCCGCCGCCGCCGCCGACTTAGGTTGGGATCCCAACCTTTGCCTACCAAGTTGACGACCACCGCCCATTGCACACCAACCCATCCTCCATCAAACCCCCTTCGCCCAACCATCCTTCCTTCCTCACCCATCGATTCAATACCATAACCCAAGATGACGAGCATGTCACCCACAAGCGCCGTCAACGGCGGCTCCGCGGCCACCTCGAACCAGGGCAGCGTCTCGCCCCGGCAGACGGTGTCGCCCAAGAACGTCGCATTTGAACTCTTGTTCACTGAGTCACCGCAATACCGTGCGCGACTCCCCATGCGGGTTCAGATATACCCTCACGACACGACCGACTCCATTGTCACTACCGTCAAGAATTTCTACGGTCTATACTCGGGCCCGACCGGCTCCAAGGGCGTCAGCTTCGAGGACGAGAATGGTATCACCCTCATCGCCCGATACGAGAACTTCCGCAACAACATGGTTGTCTACGTCAGAGTCATTGAGGAGCCTCCTTCTGCCTCCGGCCCCTTTGTGGCGCCCGCATATCACAACCCTCCCCTGAGCGCTCAGCCCTACTACGAGGGCAACGGCTATCCCCTGCAGCCGCCGCCGCGCTTCGGTCAGGAAATCTCCAGGCCTTCGTCGAGTACATCTCGCCGGCGCAGCCCGTCCCCCAACCTTGGCCGCGGCCGGAGAAGCGGGTCCGCCAACACAAACCCCAAGAAGGGCCGATCCCGGTCTTCCAAGACTCGGGACACTACTGCCAATGGACACACCGACATCTACAGCGACAGCGTCAACGGCTACAGCAGTGGCGACGGAGCTCCCGGCTCCAGCTCCAGCAGGATGAAGGAGCAGATTGGTAATACCGAAATCAGCCTCGAAAACATTGTAGAGGGTGGTCGCCGCAAGCGAGCGAAATTTGAGAGTTCGGTAAGTTTGACTGTCGGCACACATCCATCGCACTTTGCTCTTCTTGTCCGTCCATGTTTTCCGTTCCTTCATACTCATCCTGTCCGATTCAGGAACTCCCCTTATTTGCGCCTCCGCAGATGCCGGCTGCTACGTCGAACCCTTCCGTGTCTCCCGCCCGCCGCGCCGAGCCCCAGCGAGCCTCGCTGCCGTTTGTGCATCCCGGCCAGAACCCCTTTACGAACCCCCTCCCTCTGCAGTCCCCTCAGAGCCACAACAATGGATATACTCATGGTGGATACTATGCGACGCCGTCCTCTGAGCGCCACGGGCGCAATAGCATCGGCTACGCTGGGCAGGGCGGCAACTTTGGCAGCATGAGTGGCATCCTGCCCACGCCGGACCCCACCGTCGGCAGCTGCATGTCGGAAGAGGACAAGGATGTGGCTATCCAGCTTATGCGTCTGGGTGAAATGTCCAACATTTCCCACGGTCGCACCTCGGCTTCCACTCTTGACGACACGTTCAGTGGCCGCGCCGACGCCGCATCCTCTACCGGAGCCACTAGTGACGGCGAGAGTGAGAGCGATGAGGAGGAGTCGGCTGCCCGGCGCCAAAAGCTGGATGCCGCCGGTGTCATGCGCAAGATCTACCAGACCACGGAGAGCCACTTCATTCCTCAGCCCAGCATTGAGGCCAGTGCCGACGACGTTGAAGTCGAGAAGGGCAGCGACCATGCCGACCACGCTGTCAGTGGCGAGCGCAAGCCAGAAGTGCTCAAGAACAAGACCAACCTCCCCGACGCCAAGCCCAAGACACAATTGCCCGGCTCCAAGCCCAAGACTTCCAAAGTCAGCAAGGTTCCTCGTCCAACCATCCCCAAGCCCAAGAAGGCCTCGGCCTCGGCTCCGGTCCCTCCTAGCAACGGCCCCATGTCGCCGGCTTCTCTGCCTCCGTCGCGCAAGCCCTCGGTCTCCTCCGCTGCGGCTGCTCCGGGCGCCAACGGTGAGGATGATCAGCTCGACCTCTCCGCCAAGCCCCGATGCCAGCGATGCCGCAAGAGCAAGAAGGGCTGCGACAGGCAGCGGCCCTGTGGACGATGCCGCGACGCTGGTCTCAGCGCTGATCAGTGCATCAGTGAAGACGAGGGTAACGGTCGCAAGGGCAGATACGGTCGCCACATGGGAGTCCCCATCAAGAAGGAGGACATTGTCAACCCCACGCAGCCCATTCTTCTACCGGCTGCGCCGATCGCCACAACGGCGGCAATGGCCGACAAGAACAAGAAGCGCAAGCGGTAAAGGCGATAGGGTCCGCAGTTCCGGGAGCGCATTGTCGACGCTCAAACAGGAACGTGCGATTCGTCTTCGACCATATAGCTACTTCTGACATGGCCGTCGCAAAGTTCCAGTACTGTCCTTACTACGACGAGAGGTTATCGGCTTACCGGCGTTTGGCAACGAAGCTGTTTACAATGGGCGAGGCGCTTGGACCGCGCATTGTCACACGACGTGCTTCCTATCGTTACAAAACGGGAGGATGTCTGATCTGGTCTTTAACGACCACCCAACAATACTGGCAAGAGGGAAAAAAAGATTAGGCGGTGGGGTTAATGGGGATCTGCCGGGTGAGGATGGTCGCTCACACTCCTTTTTTGGCGTTTCGGATTCTTTTTATGGGAAGCGGTGTTTTGCTATTTACTGGTTTGCGCGCGTTGTTTCTTTGCTCTTTACTCATTTCTTTTTCCAATGGAACCGACGTTGAAGCGAGGAAGCTACAGTTTTTGAGCGAAGTTGTGCGACTGTACGATGTGGGTGACTGGGAGGAGGAGCAAAAGCGAGCGCGACATGTTGGGACACTTGCAGGCGCGTACGCACTTGCACATGCGCGTGAGCTCGCATGTGAAATGGCCAAAGCCTGAGCTGTCGCCGCGAAGTTTGGTAGGGCATTGGAGGCCTTGGACGAGAAGGGAAGGAAAGGGACCAAAGAAAAAGGAAACACGGCGGTTCAAGCAACTGCAGGCGAGACGGTCCTGGGGCTCGCGCAAAGTTCAAATTGTTCGTGATGGAAGGGGTGGATCGCTTGCCTGGGGGTTTTTGTGATTTCCTATATTGGCGAGGGAGATGAAGCCTCCTTTTGCGATCGGTCTCGCTCCTGTTTTCATTAGTCCCTCACTGGATGCGATTGGAGGGAGGCGGGAGGGGGAGCAAGAGAGAGGAGATGCGGCTACGATACGAACTGGTTTTTTTTGTTAGTGGCAACGTTTTCTGTAGGGAAAGCCAAGAGAGAGAAAAAAAACACATCGATCATGTAAAGCGAGGTGCACCGCGGCGTTGCGCAATGCGATTGAGGTGATGCGACAACTGGGGGACGGTCGTCCGAGGCTGTGACATTGCACCTCACGGCGCGGAGCGGGGCCAGAGCTGGACGGAAGTCGTTGAAGGATGGCTGCGGGGCTAGGCCGCTTTAGGCGCTAGCGCGCGGTTCTCGCCGTTGCATCCCGTTCCGGCTCGGGCGGGGAGGGGTGTGCGCGAGGGGGGGGTGAGTTGGGATGGTGTGGCTGCACCTGCTGGCTGCCGTTTTATTTATGGGTCCCCGCTCTGATCAGTCTGCCTTACCTCACCTACCGGTGGCTGCGGGTACCGTGGGAGCACAGTGGCACAGTGTGCGCGACAGGCTGGGGCCCGTGCGCCGCGACTTACACGGGAAGCCCAAGCTCGGGCTCCGGGCCGGATGGGCGCGCCAGGAATTGTTAAGCTCCCAGCGCGAGGTACGAGTGCTCCCGGATTATTACGTCATTCGACGGTCCTCAAGAAGGACCCCGCACCGGACGCGCGCTGGGGGGAGCGTCTTTTCCACCCCCGCACCTATGCTTTCTTTGCGCGGACAATCTCTTTGTATGTATGTAGGTATGTGTGTATGAGGGTCCGAGGTGGAATGAAGTTGCGGATGCATGTCGATAATTGAATGCATTAAGTGCATGCATGCGCAACTGCGATTGACGCCGTTTCTCTGTTCCTTCCCTCCCCCTCCCCCTGTCTGTCATTGCGCTTTGTGTGGTTTTATGGTATTATTAATGGAGGGCTCGCGCGCTAAGAAGATTATGGAGGCGAACGGGTTACGGGTTGGGTTTTATGTAGAGGCGGTGTGCAGCGATGTTGGGTTTCCTTGACTCGGAAGAACAAGAGTCGCCGTGCGCGCAACGCGAGCAGCGATGCGCGTTGTTTGTTTGTTTACCTTTTTTTTTTTCCTGCCTCTAAATCTCACACCCTCCCCCCCCCCGAGCTTTTGTTGTTGTTTTTTTGGGGGGAGGGAGATTTGATACTAGAACGTTGGCGCAGCACAGCGTGGGATTGGAGGGATTTTTAGACTCTGGGAGGTGTTCGGCGTGTTTCACTGGGTAGAAACTGTGTCGCAACGCCGCGGTCGCGAACTTTGGGGGTGGGGAGAGGTTTCGGCGATCGGGTGGCGAAAGAAACGCGAGGAATAAACGGCTCCTATTGTTTGTTTTTTTCGGTATTATGAGAGCTTTTCCGTTTTCCCTTGCGTCCACGGGGAAAGGCAGGGAGGGGTAAGAAAGATGGCAGGCCCGGACTCGAGGCTGCGCAATGTGTTTGAGGGTAATTGGTGACGACACTGGGCCGCGTTGGGCGGCACGGCTGGCGCTGGGGAGTGATACGCGCGCGGAGGGTGCGTCCGATGGGCGATCGCTGAGCCAGAGAGGCAGGGGGGAGGGCTGCGATGCGGTGTGTTGAACGATGGTGACTTTACGACGGGCGACGAGGGCGCCGTCGCCTTGCCCAGTACATGAGTCTCACGTCGAGCCCCCTCAGGTCTTTGAAGGTTCTTCCCATTTGCGACCCGGGAAGTGCAGTGAAGGCTGGCTAGGAGGTGATGCGACCCGAACGTTTGCGCTGCGCAGCGCCGCGCCGCCCTGCGATGCGATGCGTTGCGATGCGCTTGCGATGCGACGGGCGAGACGGTGAACAAGAACCATAACGGACGGGAATGCGCCTCGCATCCGATTCGGCGCGCGTGGTGGGGTCGTTGTCGAGGCTGGATTCCCCGAGCGGGGGCATGGGGCTCGTGCGCCTTCCGCTGTCGCTGCGCTTTGGCCGGGAAGTTTGTTGGCTCTTTTTGTTTGGACGGCTTGGGTATCCCGAAAGCTATGCCCGCAGTCCGGCTTGTTCCTGGTGTCAGTGTCAAAAGGTTGATGACTCGGGCATATCGAAGGTTGTGAGGAAGGTTGAATGAAATCCAGAGGCGATGACCCTGCCAGGGCCTACTGTTGTTGCCTCGGGGACACTGTCCGGAGCTGCAAAGTCGTTTCTGTCATGATGATGCCCAAAGTCGCTGGTGCATAAAACCCGTGGTTTGCGCCGACCCCAATGACCGCTTGACGATCTCGCCTTTGTCCACCCCCTTCAATTCGTGTCTCGGTGGAGATGTCCTGCCAGGTGCCAGTGCAGATGGCCACTGAGCCCAGAACAGTAACACGGTACAGCATGCCGGCCACTTCACCGTCTCCAGCCACGTCCGCGCTGGCAAAGGGCCCCCCCCTACTGCGCGGCGGAGGACCGCCGGTCCCCAGTTGAGCTGCATCATTGTTGCACACGCTTGGGTCACGTAGGGCCTGGCTCAGTCGGCCGACACCATGTTGAGGCCCCGTGACAGCTCAGAATGGCGAACTTGGCCAGGGGGCCCGGTGGCTGGGTCTTGCAACATCGGTCTCCGCGCCGTCCAACGAGACCGCCCGGACGGACAAGTCTCATCCCTCAGGCTCCAATCCTCCATAAGCCTCCCCGAGCTTCACTGACCGACTGATACTGGAGAGGGAGCCGTAGGGGGCACCGTTCTTCTATCCCGTCGGGACCCTTCGGCCAACCCACCATCTTGCCGAACTGCTGCCCCCCGTCGCCGTAGGGCGCAGATGCGCCTGTCACTAAGGCAGGCGTACGCCCAACCGTCGAGGCTAACGATCAGCACTGTACGGCGTAGAAGACGTCGAGGGGAAGCCCAAGCTTCCGCTTCTGGCAGTCATAGAGCGGGAATAAGCCCCGGGGCACTTCCGGCTGTCATGATGGAATGGTGCGATTTCGGCCATCAAGTGAAGATGGGTTACTAATAGGCAAGCAGCCGCCGTGGGCCTTTTTGGGGTATGGCATTTTTGTGAGTCTTTGCTTTCAATATTGTTTTGATAAAGGCGTCCTATCTAGGCCATCGTTCTTCTTTGCCGCCTGTGTGGACTTTGGGTCAATGGACTTGGCCAGCCACTTGCCGAAGCAACTCTACAGACATTCCACCAGCCGTGATCCTCTACCAAACGTCTGTAACCAGGAAACATCATGTCGGCAGGAATGACCTCGATGGGGAGCCCCGCCCGCGGCGGCAACTTCAGCACCGATGCCGCAGAGAAATTCCCCAACGGGACCCTGGAAGTGGGTGTTCCCGAAGAGGTCCGCGAGTGGTCCGCCGAGCATGACCTCGTGTACCCGGAAGGAGGGTGGACCGCCTGGTCTCAGGTGTGGGCCGGCAACATGCTCATGGCGTTGGCGTGGGGCTACCCGGCGACGTTCGGCGTCTACCAGCTCTACTACACCGAGAAGCTGCGCCTGCCCGCGGCCCAGGTCTCGTGGATCGGCTCGGTACAGATCTTCCTGACGTTTGCGATATGCACCATCTCGGGCCGGCTGACGGACGCCGGGTACGCCCGACATGTCGTCTTGGTGGGGTGCGCCTTTGTCGTCTTCGGCTCTTTCATGACCAGTCTCTGTACCGAGTACTGGCAAATCATGCTCGCGCAGGGCATCTGTACCGGCATGGGCCTCGGCGCCCTCTTCATGCCAAGCGTGGCAGTCATCGGGTCCTACTTTAAGGAGAAGCGGTCTTTGGCGTTGGCCATCTCGGCCACAGGCACCGGCGTCGGCAGCCTCATCTTCCCGTCCACCCTGCAGTACCTCATTCCCCAGGTCGGATTCCCTGGCCG